GTAGTGGTACTGCTAGTAGTGGTGGTAGTAGTAGTAGTGGTACTGCTGGTAGTGGTGGTAGTAGTAGTGGTACTGCTAATACTTTCACTGCTGGTAGTAGTACTGCTTGTGATAGTAGTAGTAGTAGTAGTGCTACTTGTAGTACTTTCACTGCTGGTAGTAGTACTACTTGTGCTACTGCTGCTGCTCGTTGTAGTACTAGTGGTGGTGGTAGTAGTAGTAGTAGTGGTGGTACTTGTAGTGCTAGTGGTAGTACTACTTGTGGTACTGGTGGTGGTAATAGTAGTAGTAGTAGTAGTGCTACTAGTGGTACTGCTAGTGGTAGTGCTACTTGTGGTACTGGTTGTACTGGTGGTGGTGGTAGTGGTACTCGTAGTACTGCTACTACTTGTGGTACTAGTGCTGGTAGTAGTAGTAGTACTAGTGGTGGTACTGCTGCTGCTCGTCGTAGTAGTAGTGGAGGTGGTGGTTGGTATTGCTAAAATATAAAATAGTTGTGCTTTATTCAATCAAATTAGAAGGAGGCTATACTAAAAATATTAATATGAGATCAAATAATTCAAGCAACATTTCATTCGATTTTTGTCAACTTTTCAAATGATACTCACAAAAGATTATTTATTAACTACAACTTCATAATATTTCATTATATGAAAATAACTTACTGCAGTTACTATTAGTTTGCAGAGTGAATTGTTGCACTCGACTATTATTTCGATCAGTAACATATATATTTCCGTAGCTATCAAAAGCCATACTTTGTGGAAAAGATAATTGATACATAGTTGAGCCACCTCCTGAGCATCCGACGATACATCGAAAACCATAATAACTTGAAGCAACAATGCGATGATTATAACTATCGACAATAAATAAATAACCATTAGCATCAAGAACAATTCCAGTTGGATAGTTAAGTATAATATTTGTTGATGATCCATTACCAACGATTGCCACTCCATTTAACTGGCCAGTTTGAACAAATTGAATACGATTGTTAGCACAGTCTGCAATATATAGGTTTAAATTACTATCAACATAGATCCCTTGAGGAGAATTAAGCATATTTGATAGTGATCCAGCAGAACCATTACCGGCTGCAATTATCGGGATGGTTGTACCATTATTAAGTAAGAGTTTAACAACTTGATGAAGATATTTAAGTGAACAATAAATATTATTATTAATATCAATAAACAAACCATAACAACTTCCATTGACATTCATAACAGTAACACGATTTGATGTATTAAATGTATATTTATCGACTCGACCATATGAATAACCATTATCAATATAAATATCACCAGTCATAGACATAAAAAGACTATATGGATTACTTAAACTACTATAACTATTGCTTGTTGATGTATTACTTCCTTGAGCCCATGATAAAATAGTGTTACTAACTCGATTAGGTATATAAACAGTATTAATTCCATCAATGAAAATACCATAAGGTAATGAACCAGTTGTACTACTTGATGCAAAAGTTGATGCATTAGAATACCACGAAGCATTAAAACACAATGTTGGTTGATTATAAGAAAGACCTAAAATAAATAAATAAATGTATATCATCGAAAACATAAACTAAAAATAACTTACTACATGAATTTGATGCTAATATAAACTTTTGCACGCGACTGTTAAATCTATCAGCAACAAATAGATTTCCATAACTATCAAATCTTAAAGTTCCTGGATAATTTAATTGATTTGATGCAGAACCAGGTATTGTCGTACATCCAAACAAACATCGAAAACCATATGGTCCTGATCCAACTATTCGATGATTAAAACAATCGGCAATAAAAAGATATCCATTACCATCTAATGTAATACCATTTGGCTCAAAAAGTGTAATAGTTCCTGGTGCACTAGCTCCTGCTACAGTTATTCCAGTTAATTGTCCAACAGGAAACATTTGTATTCTATGATTATTAGAATCTGCAACATATAAATTAAATTTAGCATCGACAAAAATTCCAATAGGCGCATTAAGCATAGTTGCTGTTGATCCAGTTGTACCGTTGCCAGCAACAATAGTTGATGTAAGTACATTATCATTTAGCCATCTCTTCACAACTTGATTAGAGGTAAATGCTGAACAATAAAGAGTATTACTAATGTCAACAAAAATACCAGTACATGCATAAGGAACTGACATTACAGAAGTACTTATACTTGAGTTCAATGAAAATTTATCAACTCGACTGTTAAATGCACCATTGTCAACATATATATCACCTACAGGAGTAACAAAAAGATCAAATGGTGTATTCAGACTACCAGAAAGAATTTTATCTGGATTAATACTTCCTTCGAACCATACTACAACCTTATTAGTTTGTTGATTAGCGACATAAACAGTATTATTAATACTAACGAAAACACCATATGAATTTGTTCCAACCGTACTACTGTTAGCAAATGTAATCCCATCTGTATACCAAGTTGTAGATGGACAGAAGCTTGGTTGATTGATAGTTGTACCTAAAATTAAAAATAAATCAAAAGGCATTGGTATCATTGTTCCAACATCTTCATCAAATGAAATATTTTCTAATACAAAAAATATTAATCTTATGTTCGATCTTATAAAGATCTTCAGAGAGTTGAATGGTTTAATATAATCAGAATCAATTTTACTATTGTGTCTTACACAAACAAAAACTAAGATTGATTAATTTAAATAAATAGGTTCGGTTAGATTTTATTTAACTTACTATAAATATTACTTGTTATATAAAATTTTTGAATTCGATAATTAAAGTCATCGGTAATAAACATATTTCCATGACTATCAAAACTTAAAGTCATCGGATAGTATAATTGATTAGATGCCGAACCCAGAACTCTTGAACATCCTACTAAACAACGAAATCCATTTGGTCCTGAACCAACAATACGCTGATTGCCAGTATCCGTAATAAAAAGATAACCATTACCATCAACAACAACTCCACTAGGACCAACAAGATCAATAGTTGATGGTGCTCCAGTACCAGCTACTGTAATACTATTTAATTGGTTTGATAAAAACAATTGAATTCTATTATTACCACAATCAGCAACATATAAATTTAAATCTGTATCAACATAAATTCCACGAGGATAATAAAGTGTATTTGATATTGATCCTGAACAGTCCGTACCAGCAGCAACTATCCACATATTTGAACGACTATTTAATGATTTTGTGACAACTTGATGATATGCATATTGCGAACAATAAATATTATTATAAATATCAACAAAAAGACCCCAACATGCGGCTTTGACAATCATTACTGGAACACCAACCGTTGTATTTACTGCCCATTTATCGACTTGACTATTTGAATCACCATTATCAACATAAACGTCACCGTTAACTGTAACGAACATAGTATAGGGATAGGATAAGCCACCACTAATAGTTCTTATAGGTATGCTACTATTTTCAAGCCATACTTGAATCATATTTTGATTCCATTCACATACATATAGAGTATTGTTAGTATCAACGAATAGACCATATGGATATTGTCCAATTGTACTAGTGTTGAAAAGAGTTACTCCATTAGAACTCCAAGTAGCATAAGCACTAAATTTTGGTCGGTTGTACGAAAGACCTAAAAAGATATATTTGACAAGAATTCTTTCAATTCCTAGTAAATTAATCATTTGGTGTATCTTCACATTATTTTCCTGGTTACTATCTAACAAAATTATAATATACTATAATATTTACAAGCGATAGATTTTATTGGAAAACTGTACTGAAAAGTCTGAGTATCTGTTCTATTAAATCGAGCTCTCGAAAAGTCGTGTTAATGCTTAATCTGCTCCTCTCATTTTTACTATAATAATCAGGTGCTATCGACTAAAATGATTCTCACTTTCTGTAGTTGGATTTGTTTACTTAGCGAACAGTATACTGAAATGTATGATATATTAATTAACTTTCATAAGAACAATATGAAAAAATCTGAATAAAACTTCTAAAAAATATTTTATAAACAACATACGTGTCGAAGAAGATATAGTTGTAGAACTTGTTCCATAGGTAGATGTTAATAACGGAACTGATTGAGTACTATTCATTGATATTCCTATAAAAAACAAATGTAAAGTCTCAGTAAAACAAAAATTAATAAAAAACAAACCACTAGACATTGTTGTCATTGATGTTGTTGTTCCATCTATTAAAAGAAAAAGATATAATTTTAATTAATAAAATAAATGAGATTTATTTTCACTTACTGCATCCATTTGTCACCAAGAAAAATTTTTGAATTCGATTGTTAAATAAATCGCTAATAAATATATTTCCATAACTATCAAAACGTATTGAGTATGGAGCATTTAATTGAGTAGATGATGACCCCCAATTTCCAGAACATGCTGCTATACATCGATATCCATAAGGTCCTGAACCGATAAGACGATAGTTACCTTGATCAACAATAAAGAGATATCCATCAAAATCAAGAATAACTCCAGTTGGATGACTAAGTGTGATAGTTCCTGTTGATATTGTTGTTCCATTTAATTGTCCTGATCCAAATTTTTGAATTCGATTGTTATTATTGTCAGCCACATATAAATTTAAATTACTATCGACAAAGATATCACATGGTGCATTAAGCATAGACGGTGTTGATCCAACAGTTCCTGTTCCAGCAACAGTATTCCAAATATTTAAATTTGTATTCAATGATTTTGCAATAACTTTATTAGCATTGTACAGTGAGCAGTAAAGCATATTATTAATATCAATAAAAAGACTAAAACATGGTCCACAATTATACATTGCTGGAACACTACTTGTTGAATTAAATGCCCATTTATCCACTCGATTATTTGCATAACCATTATCAACATAAATATCACTATTATCTGTGACGAAAAGGTTAAAGGATGTGTTTAAACCACCCGAGATAGACCTTGTCGGTGTTGCACTATTGTTAGCCCAAATTTGCACTCGATTGTTTGCTCTATCAGCTATATAAACCGTATTATTTGTATCGACAAAAACTCCATAAGGATATGTACCAACTATAGTACTATCAGCAAAAGTTATAGCCGTAGGATTCCATGTTGCATTTGCACAAAATTTCGGGAGATTGTATGCAATAGCTATAGGAAATAATAAAGATCATTATAAACCTAACGATAGACATTCTACATTCGATCAGTGTATTCATAATTATCTCATAGATATTTTTATTTTAAAAGAAAGACTGTTCTATGAAGTTAGATATCTTATTTTAACAAAATGCATACCTGATATTTGACCAATAAACAGCGATAATAACCAAATATTGAACATGTTAAATAATATCATATTATTTCTCTGAAATAAAATTTATTTTCATATCAATGAATGTTAATATGGAATAAAAAAATTATTAAATAAAATATTTTTACAATCTTCAATAGATTTCTATTACTTAGATAAAATCATACGGAATTAAAAAATTAATATATTTAAAGAATAAATAAAATACAAATATATGAATTTAATCTTATATTAGAAATATTTTTGTCTCGATAGTGAGACTAAAAAAAAATAATTTAGAAATTTCTCAAAGATTATTAATTTTATAGTCTGACAGAAGAGATGAATCATTTTAGAACAATTACTCTGATGAATAATAACTTTTTCAAAAACTAATTCTTAATATTTTTTTTCACCTGAAAATATGTTGAAGCTATTCTATTTAATTTTAAAAAATATATAGATTATTTTTTTTTATGGTCATCAAAAGGTTAATGAAAATGCATTTGAAAGAACACTCTACGAATAGCTTTCTATTTAATATTTTTTAATAATATTAAAAGGGAAAATTTTTGTTTGTTGTATTTTATTCTTGAAGAAGAAAATAATCATTTCTCATTCAATGACTAAATTTGATTGAATTTTCATATGTTTATCTTAAAATATTTGTTAATCGATATTTTTTTTGATTAAAAATAAATAAATATTATTGAAAGTGTAATTACTATTTCATATTTGTTTTTTAAATTGATATAATGGAATTATTTCTTCAAAAATAAATTATATTTCTAAACATCTGCATATTATTACTTATGCAACAAAATAAACAGTATCCAGAAAATAAAAAAAAATATGATGAAACGGATATTATATTTGATGTATTTTATTTTCGTCGATTAAAATAATAATTTGGATTCAACTCATTCTGTAATTTTGATTTTTAACCAATTCTATTTAATGATTTTGATCAACATTTCTATTTTAATTAATCAAAATAAAATACATCAAAAATGTCATTTGTTTTATAACAATACTGATATTATTATCTGATTCGTGAACACTAATAATTATTTGAACTAAATAAAAATAATGGAAGAATAACACAAATTCCTACATAGAAATATTTGAAATCAGGAGTAAGAAAAAAAAGAAGAAATGAAGATCTCTATTATCTCGAAATAATAATGATCGAAATATCGCAGTATTTGATAGTTTTACTCTTACTTAATGTCATTAAAATGAATAATCGTTTTGTTATAGTTGTTGAAAAGCTTACCTCTTTCAAGATTCTTTTGAACAAAATGAAAAAAAAATGTAATATACTGATATTCTTGAGAATATCTAATAAATATATATGTGCTCTATAGCAACTATGACGTTGGTGACGATTCTATTTTCTTCTCTTATATTATGCTTCGCTTATCACCTGTAAAAATAAAAAAAAAAAGACGAAGGAAGATAGAAATACGACATTTGGGAAATATGTATTTTAATTGAAAGAATATCACTCAATATTGGATTCATAATCTATTGTATTAGACAGAAATTCAAATTTAAAAAAAATAATCATAGAAAATTTTAAGAAAGATTTGAATGAATTATCAATTGTTACATTTCTCTGTGTATAATTATCTGAAAAATAATGAATAGAAATATTATACATAGAAAGTATATGATCATAGAGTCGAAGTATCAACAAAAATAAACAAATATTATTCATAGATATAATTATGTAGTTTCAATGCATATTTTTTTTTCTCAAAAAGTTTATTTTAGATTTTCATTTGTAATA